TTCTTTGTACAGGACACATGAGAATACTAGATGCCCTCTTTTGAGGTTTATAATTTGATTTACAGAACTGTCCTTAACATTTTAGTATCAGGAAAACATGACTGATTTCTAGATAATGAGACAAGGAACCAGGTCACATGTAACTGACTTGCATATTATTCACAGACTATCCAGTATTTCTGGTGAAAAAAATTAAGAAGGGAATGCAAAAAGAGGAAGTAGAAACTGAAAAAGAGATAATGGGAGAATGTTTCTGGGGTGCTGTAGATCAGCACATGATGTATGTATTTTTAAGAATATATCAAAATTTTATTATTCAAGAGTTCCATTTGGGAAAGTTTTCAGATAAAAATATCTGATGTGTGGGACTGGCCCCGTGGCATAGTGGGTAAGTGCGCGTGCGCTGCTGCTGGCGGCCTGGGTTCGGATCCCGGGCGCGCACTGATGCACCACTTGTCTGGCCATGTTGTGGCAGCGTCCCACATAAAGTGGAGAAAGATGGGCACGGATCTTAGCTCAGGGCCAGTCTTCCTCAGCAAAAAGAGGAGGATTGGCATGGATGTTAGCTCAGGGCTGATCTTCCTCAACAACAACAACAACAAAAAAGTCTGAAGTGAATTTTATCCAATTGTATGACATAAGTTTTGTGGCAGTTCACATTCTATTAGCTGATATTCTTTGAGCGTCTTCTGTGTTCTAGGTACTGTTCTGAGTATTCTTCATGTATAATCATAAATCATAATTAATATAAGGATCTGTGTTTTAAGAGTTTTTAATTCTTACAACAGACCTGTGAGGTACGTGTGATCACTATTCCTGTTTTACAGATGAGGACACTGAAGTACAGAGAAGTTAATTTTCTTAAGATTACACAGCTAGTAAGTGGTAGAGTTGGTTTTCATACACATTGTCTGATCCATAGCTCCTAGCCACTCTACTATGCTGCCTCCTAGAAGAGAGAGGTACTAGGAGAATAACATCACATCTGACGCAAAGTCATGTTGGCATTCCAAACTCAGAAGAACAGGTATATTGGCAGTCAGCATTGTAGTCATATAACCAGTTGAGATTTTGTTTCAGCAAACATCTTTTTTCCTGTCATGTTAATGTCGTTGGTTGAACAGTACTGGTTTTGTGGTTGTGTTTGGATTTAATTTATAAGATTTTACTGTTATATGAGTTGTTATAAGCACTAAGAGTTTTGTTCTAGTTTATATATATTTCAATATCATAACAAAAATAATTTAACACTCAGAGATTACAGTGTAGAGATGCTGATGTAAAGGATTGCTTTGAATCCTTTGGAAATCAAAGAAATCTTTTGTAATGCACATGAATACATACTGATTTCATTTATTATACAAATTCAGAGTTTTCTATAAACTATTGATTTCTTTAAAGTGAACAGCATGAATCAAGGAAGCTCTTAGAATTTGTTGTTTTGTGTATTTGGATGTACTGCTCCCAACCCAGGCAGGTGCTCTGGGTGACTCATATTATAGACAAACAATCCATAGGTACTAATATAAACAATACTTTGTAGGCTTTTTTCCCTCTGCTAGTTCCCAATTGAGGGCTATTCTCTTGTTACAGGCATAGAATGGTATTCTATTGATGGAGTTCTTTAGCAACTATTAGTATAAAAAACATAGAGGGTCTCTTATTCAGAGGAAGACTGAAGTAAGAAGAAGCAAAAAGTTGTCCCTGATGTCGCTGCGAGTTGTCCTGATTTAAATGAAATTATGAGACAGTTTTTAATCAAAATGAAGACTATCATCATTTTTCTCTTTGTAAAATTTTAATCATCTTTTTAAAACTTAATTTGGTAAGCTTTCCTTTTGCAAATTTAACTCATTTTCCTTACATGTCAGAGATTCTAGTTAGTGTGCTTTCTCAGTGTGCTTTGTTAATCATCTTTGAAGTAATTTTTTCCGAAGAAGAAACCCTTTCGAATTCAGGAACTATTTATTGAGCTCTTACTGTGTACAAGCTGCTCTGCTAGTCATTGATAGCATCATTTAATTTTGGTACACATACCTGTTATACTCCAGAATTAGAAAAACTTCATTCAGACATTTGAGTCTCTGATATTATCTGTTCTCATGATTGATTGATTTCTATAAATATTCTCTGGCTGGATTTATTTGTTCCTTCTTATATTTTTCTACTTCTAGAGATCTACTCTGCTGTAAGCAATCTATTCATTTACCCTTTTAAAATATCCTGTGGAAGAACTGTAACATAACCACCACTCTACACTTGTATAGGACTTTAATGTAAAATTCCAATCTGTAAACTGAAATAAAGACTTTCTGATGTTTGATAAGATCTTCTGGACTTTTTTTAAACTAGAAGTTAGTGGTCTCTGAGACATCTGAAATTATAAAGAAAATAGCATATGGGGCCCACCTGGTGGCATAACGGTTAAGTGTGCACGCTCTGCTTCGGCAGCCGGGGGTTCACAGGTTCAGATCCCAGGCGCGCACTGACACACCGCTTGTCAAGCCATGCTGTGGCGGCGTCCCGTATAAAGTAGAGGAAGATGGGCACAGATGTTAGCCCAGGGCCAATCTTCCTCAGCAAAAAGAGGAGGATTGGCATTGGATGTTAGCTCAGGGCTGATCTTCCTCATACACACACAAAAAAATAGTGAGCATATATACATTTTTCTTAAAAGAAGTTCCATACCTTTGTATGGAACTTAGGGCTTTTGTACATAAATAAATTTAAGAATTAATGGTCAATAAGCAGGAGAGTGAGCTTCAGATGTAATCTTAGAAAAGCTGTGGCTGACTAATAAAGATTTTCCAAAAAGATTTCTGTTTGTGTATTTTGTCACCAGTTCTGACACCAAATGTAGTTCTTTATACTGACACCAACAGCCATTTCTCCAACACCAACTGGGTGTCTAACAATTCAGTTCAATTCTGACACTAACTCTCTGGAGTTAGTACAGATTCCACGGGTTAAGGGCTTAGTCCCACAAGACTGCCCCCACTTAAGATGCCAGCTGCAAATGGGGTACCCAGGCTACCCACACTTCTCCCTGGCTGACTACGAATTTGAGGGTTCCCACGCCCGCCCCCCTCCCCGTTCGATAATTTGCTAGAATGACTCACAGGACTCATGTAACTGCTATACTTACTCTTACGGATTTATTGTAAAGAATACAACTTAACAGGCAAATGGAAGAGATTCATAGGGCGTGGTATGGGGACAGAGGTAGCACAGAGCTTCCATGCCCTCTCCCAGGACATCAGTGTGTTCATCAACCAGGAAGCTCTCTGAACCCTGAACTTTTTTGGAGCTTTTATGGAGGTTACATAGGTGTAATTGATTAAATTTTTGGCCGTTGGTGATTCAACTCAATCTTTAGCCACTCTCCCATCCTCAGAGGTCTAGGGATGGGGCTGAGAGTTTCAACCCTCTAATCACCGTAATCAGGTGGTTGGTTTTTCTGGGAACCAACCGCCATGCTGAAGCTATGTAGGCGCCCCCCATCCATGAGCCATCTCATTAGTAATCAAAAGACAGTAAGACCCAAAGGTTTTCGGAGCTTTGTGCCAGGAACCTGAAACGGAGCAAATGTTTTTTATTGTACTACAACTGTATTACTGTATTGTCTCAAATTCTATATAAATAGTGAATCTTACTGAATATTTTTGGATTTAAGCATGTATGACATTAAAATTTATATGTATACCTAATTTTCCTACAAAAATATTTGTAAAACATGGGTTAAAATTAACAAAAATGCATGGATTTAAAAATTTTAATTTTCCTTGTTTCATTGGAAATCTTTTTTACTGTGTATTGTCAGACTTGGTTAGTCGTGGAACTAACAGGTTGGTCACTAATCTAAAGCAAATGGTAAATTCACTTGGGAAGAATATGATTTACTAGACTTGAATACAGAGTGGGTTACCCTGGAGGTTTATTTCTTCTTTTTTGGTTTTTATATGCTTGAATGACTCTAGGCTAGTGGTTCTGAGGAAGGCTGATTTTGTCCCCCAGGAGACATTTGGCAGTGTCTGGAGACATTTTTGGTTGTCACAACTTTGAGGAGGGGGGTGCTGTTTCTGCTGGTCTCTGGTGGGTCTCTAGATGCCGAGGATGCTACTAAAAGTCCTGTTATGCACCAAACAGCCCCTGACAACAAAGAATTATCTAGCCCCAAATGTCAATTGTACTGAGGATGAGGAAGGCCAATTTGGGAATCACCAGTGGTTAGATGGTATTTAAAGCTTTGAAGCTATGGGACTGGATAAAGTCACCTAAGCTTATGACCAGCTCTTCAGCTCTGGAGCCTTATCCACTTAATTGATGCTACCATTTTGATAGATATGGAGAAATGCTTTTCATTCCTGTCTCAAAACCGCTTATTGAGAGACCAAACTGCAACCATCCAAATTTCCGAAATATGATTGTTGGTTAATTTGCTAGTTTGGGGGAAAAAAACCCCAAAAACCTGTACTATCTTTATAGTCCTGAACTCTTATGGAGGACTTTCCAGAACTCCATTGAAAAGTATTTGTATTCAAAATGAAAAGAATTCTGGAGATTGTTTACACAACAGTGTGAATATACTTAACACTACTGAACTGAAATGGTTAAGATGGTGATTTTTATGTTACCACAATTAAAAAATTTTTTTTCCAGTGTTTCATATTTTCTTAAGGAGTGTTCCATTGTATTCCTCTAGGACCATTGTTCTCAGCTTCTATCACTATTTTCTTTTAGTCAAGAGAGTTTATGATCTCTCAGGTGATTTTTCATTTTTTTCCAAATGCCTCTTAATTTTTAAAGCACACAAATTAGCCTTAGTCTTAAAGATTGGACAGTACTGGATTGATAGGAAAGTATAGTAAATTCTCAATTTAGGGAACCATATGTAGTCATTGTCTATATATTGAAAAGTAATTCAAAAGAAAAGAAGCTTCAGATGCTCTTAGTGTAAAGGTTATTCATGATTTCATGTCTTTTCTTTCTTTATCTAATAGGCTTTCAAGGATATGCTGTATTCAGCTCAGGACCAGGCACCTTCTGTGGAAGGTAAGGTGCATTAACCCGTACGTTTAGTCACATAAAACCTCTTTTTAAGGAAAGATATTTTAAACTGCACAGTATAAAACTAGTATAAGCAGCCCTATTATATAGATCTTTTTTTGCTTTTTATAATATATATTATGATTACTTTGTATTTCAATTAAAATTCTTTTTTGTTTACATTTAGCGTCTGATGGATCTCTTATTATATCCTTACATCACCTTAGCATTGTGAATCACAGATATTGGTTTAGAGTCAAAGTTCTTATCTGTGTCATGCCCCATCCTCCCCACAGTGTATTTTAATATCCATTTCTCTATCCATCCATCCATCCATCCATCCATCCATCCATCCATCCATCCATCTATCCTTCCATCATTCAGTGAATCCGTAGTCCATAATTAGTCTGGGCAACACAGTTTTTCCTTTCTGTTTATGTCATGTCTTTAAACTGGGACTAGTAAAACAATGGAGCATGTTTACTGTGTGTGTGTGTTTTATAAGCATGTATATGTATGCTTGTGCACAGTTTGGCAGTCATAAAATGACTGACCTAAAGACAGTGGTTCTCTCTCCAATTATCTTTATTGATCCTTTCTTTTCTCTTACCTCAGCTTCTGCTCACCAGCTCATTCTTTGTGGGTTTAAACCTTTGATAGGTTTGGAGAATTGTACATTCAAGTTGTAGGAGTTCTTATGTCAGTAAATAATTAGGAGCTGATTGAACAACTATTTCTTGAGGGAGTGTACTTTCTGAGGCTGGATATTCTTTTAATATTTTGCATCACATTTTTTTAAGGAGAGATGAATGTGAAAAAGTATATGCCAAAAATATAATAGATAGTGTGTACAGATTAATATCTTTATGAGATACCAAACTGGATTTCTATGAAATCATTGTAGTGATAGGCTTTTGAAGGCTTATTTTTATGGTGTATAACAGATGCTGAAGTTGTTTAATGAAACTATATATCTGTAATTAAAAATCTCATTGTCTTTAATAACATAGAAATATACATCTTTCAACTCTAACCATTCTGAATTCAAAATGTGCTTCTTTCAAAATCTCAAAATCTTTACCAGGGTATTGGCACTTAGGTATTAGTGTTATAATATGTCACTGAATGAGTTACAATATATTAAATTTTCTAATTTATAAATGAAGACACTTAAGATTTATCAAAATGTTTAGTTCTTTATTGGGTTATTATCTCTTATTTTATGTGTTCTAAAGACTACCTCCTCAAAATATTTTAAGAATGAGGGGCTGGCCCGGTGGCGCAAATGTTTAAGTGTGCATGCTCTGCTGCGGCAGCCCCGGGTTCGCTGGTTTGGTTCCTGGTGTGCACCGACGCACCACTTGACAAGCCATGCTGTGGCGCCATCCCATATAAAGTAGAGGAAGATGGGCATGGATGTTAGCCCAGGGCCAGTCTTCCTCAGCAAAAAAAAAAAAAAAAAAAGAGGATTGGCAGATGTTAGCTCAAGGCTGATCTTCCTCACACACACAAAAAAATTTAAGAATGTAAGAAAAGGGAAATTACATGGAAGTTAAACTGATTCCCTCACCCTGTTTAACTTGCTTTAGTATTATTTCTTTTAGTTTTATTCTCAAGGTTGGGCTACTTATCCTTAATTTTTTTAAGTTTCACCATCTGGTTTGTAACAAAGATACTCTGAGATATGTTGTAAGTTATGATGATCTTTATTCATCCCTCCATGCTAGATTATGTTACTAGTAATTTTCATATACTTTTAGCTGTTACTAGAGAAAAACTGAGTTCTCTGAAAGTATGCTAAAATAACAAATATTTGTGTTAAGACCTTTTCCTTTATCTCATTGCCCAGAGACATTAACTTCTTTGGACCCCGTTAGAAATAGGGAGTATTGTAGGCTGATCATGCAGAAGTATGTGCTGCTTTCTTAAGGGAAACATTCTGCACTTGTTCGTTCTTTCTGCTCTCAGATAATCAGATGAAAGCCATGTAGTTTTTATCTTCTTAAAGTTTTCTCTTTTGAGATACTGGAGAATTGAAGATATTGGAAAGTGTTTTAAAGAAACATTATTCTATGTAGTATTGAGATTAGAAAAAGTTATTAAAAAGACTATAATTTTGTCTCATTTGCGTTGTGATACTAAATTAATTTACCATCCTTTATATAGTGTTAAATTTAAGTGGTAATCATCTCTCTCATTGTTATATTCTGGCTGTTGAGTTTGTATCTCTAGGCTTTTATTTAGCAGTTATCTATAAAATAATGCAACATGAGCAGATTTATCAGCAAAGTCCAAGATAAGACTTGAAACTTTTAACATTTTTAAAGTAAAATAAAGTTCCATAGGCCTTGATTATTTTTTTGAATATTGTCTTTCTCTCTTTTCTTCACTCTCATTTTTTCTACACCTTAGGTTTTAGTAGACTTAAAACCTTTGGTGCCAGTGAGCAATTTTTTTTTTAGTCTTAAAACTGTAGTATACCATAAATTGATGGTTCTCAAATCTGCTGCACATTTAACTCAATTTACCTGTGATTTTATTTGTTTGTTTTACAAATGTTGATACTTGGTCCTCAGTTCAGGCCAATTAAAATAGGATCCAGGGATGGAACCCTCGTATTGGTCGTTTTATAGTCTCCTCAGGTGATTCTAATATTAAAGCCAAAGTTTGGGGCCAGCCCCGTGGCTTAGGGGTTAAGTGCGCGCACTCCGCTGCTGGCGGTCCGGGTTTGGATGCCGGGCGCACACCAACGCATGGCTTCTCCGGCCATGTTGAGGCCGCGTCCCACATACAGCGACTAGAAGGATGTGCAGCTATGACATACAACTATCTTCTGGGGCTTTGAGGGGGAAAAAATAAATAAATAAATAAAATTATAAAAAAAAAAAAGCCAAAGTTGACAACTCCTGCCATAAATCTTAAAATAATTTTAGATCAGTATGGTTAATGCTAACAACTTTTACACGATAATTAGCCAGTGGGTTTATAGGCTTCTTAAGTTCATTGGTAGTTTGATTTTTCTATTAGCATATGGAAGTATTTTTTTGTTTGTTTATAGCATCTAGAAGATGTTTATTTTTACAATGTTTATTTGTATTGAATTGAATCTAAGTAATAGCTGTACTGATTATTTACATATGTTAATGGTTATAACTTAACATCATTATTAGAATTAAAAAACATTTTTGCTGATTTGTACTTGAGATACTAAAATGAGTAGCTTCCTCATATTTCACACTACTTTTGTTTAAGATGGAGAGTAAAGATCGGTTTGTTTGATAAAAGTGTATTAGATAAAAGGCGTAGTATATGAAAGTTTTTGTTGATAAGAAGTTGACCACAGACACTATTTTTTATACTAGTGAATTATTTTCCTCTAATTTGGTAGCACATTTCAAGACAGTGCCTTTACTCTTCATTGATAAAGTGGGCTTTTTTCCCATTTAAAAGAAAACCAATCGAATAAAAGAATTTCAGTGTATTAAGAAATCAAGGAGGGCCGGCCCCGTGGCTTAGCGGTTGAGTGCGCGCACTCTGCTGCTGGCGGCCTGGGTTCAGATCCCGGGCGCGCACCGACGCACCACTTCTCCGGCCATGCTGAGGCTGTGTTCCACATACAGCAGCTAGAAGGATGTGCAGCTGTGACATACAGCTATCTACTGGGGCTTTGGGGGGAAAAAAAAATAAAAAAAAAGAAATCAAGGAGTGTTTACTTAAAGTTATACTTAAACATTCAGATTCAGTTATTTTGCTTCATTCATCTTTCGAGTGAATTTCATGATCGTTTGTTTTTACATTGATTCATGAAAAATAGTGTCTATTTTTATTTAAAATAAATGTCTTATGATTGTAACTAGGAAGTGCTCACGTTCTGAAATAATATATAAGAATATATTAGCGCTTATATAAGATGAAGAATGCTTAAAGACTTATTGAGGCATTCCTTATCACTTTATATCTAATCTCCTTTGATATATATCATTACCTACTCTTCTGTGTAATGTCTATTATTTTTGGTAGCCATTTACATTTGGGAATATTATATGACTGAGAAGATAACTTAAAATTTTATGTTAAAGCTTATACAATGTATTGATTTTTATTTATTTTTTATTATTTATTTTTTATTTTTTTCCCCAAAGCCCCAGTAGATAGTTGTAAGTCATAGTTGCATATCCTTCTAGTTGCTGTATGTGGGACTCGGCCTCAGCATGGCTGGAGAAGCGGTGCGTCGGTGCACGCCCGGGATCCAAACCCAGGCCGCCAGCAGCGGAGCGCACGCACTTAACCGCTAAGCCACGGGGCCGGCCCTGATTTTTAAATAATGGTATAAATAATCAAATATTTTACTATTTATTTTATCATTTTCTGCAGAAAGACTTGTAGAACAGCATACATGACAGTACAATAAGGGCATTAAAATGACTAGAATAGTAGATTTTTTTTTTTCATGTGAAGGGGCGGACACACACTTAGAGTCCTTGGAGTCAGTCTTTTGTGGAGTACTGTTTTGAGGAATTTTTGGAAAATGATGCTAAAAGCCTTAAAACTATATTGTGTTTTTCCAATTCCTGCTATCAATGAGGTATTTGCTATTCGGGTATTTGGGACAGATTAAATTAAGCTGTAAACTAGAGGTTCCCTCAGTGAATCAGTCACACCTTAATAATCAGGATTGTTTCGAGGCAAGACAATTTATTGTAGATATGAAAAGAGAACTAATCACAGTACTCATTTGACGTAGTCAGATTTTCTATAGACTATGTCAAATTTTCATAGACTATGTCAAATTTTCAGTGATAGAGAACAGTGGAAAATATAAATTGCTATATTTTTCACCTTTTCTCTCGTGCTTTTTTCCCCCCATTTGATGTCTCAGTCACTTTATGGAATTAATCTACTTGGATAAATATTCACACTTTTTTGGGGGGAAGCCTCTCCCTTCCCCAGGATACTTCTGATACATATAATTTATGTACATATAAATTTATACATTAGTCATATAA